ATAGGTAACTAAAATATTTAAACGTATAAGAGCATCAAACAGAATGTTACAGATAGCTATATGAAGTTATAGTATACACAAATTCTGATACGTAAAATGTAATGGAAAATTCCGTAAATGCACAACAAAATGACAAACATTTTACGGGAAGATCCAAAAACCAACATAATGTCGTTCCAAAAATGAAAACAGGGTTTTACAAAAATACAAGCTTAACCTGTTCAATAAAACTTGTTACCTTTATACATTTCAATGAGGCTAGCAGGACATTTTTTTTTATTGAATCAGCTCATTAGATATCGGAGACGAGGCGGCAAACTTTCTGTAAGGTATTTATCAACCACCACCGTGTATGCGGCTATTACGGTTTCTAATATCTTTTTCTTTACTGGACTTGTTCAGTGCTGAGCTCAGTTTTTGTTCAACACTTGTTCTGCGGGGAATTGCAAATCGCCGTTATATAAATAAGTTTTACATCCTTGACTCAAGTTCACTTCTACATGTATAATGTTCAGCTCTATCTCCGTATTTTTTTGGATCTTCTCGTATCCTAAATTGTCATAATTGTCACTATATAAACGACTTGATACTAGTAATACGTGACTCGCAGGTCCCGCTCTCGTGGGAGTGACGTTTTTTTTTTTTTTTTTTTTTTTGGGGGGGGGGGGGGGGTGGTTGGGGGGGGGGGGGAGATAAAGGGTTATAAATAAGAATTTGGTTGGGGTGGATTGCTTGAAGTTAGACTTAAATTGAATTGTATATATTCAATTGCCCTGAATAGGGAGGAAGAGATCATTGTTTTAGAGACAATTTTACTGTGTGGGCACGAAGGGTTATAAATAAGAATTTTGCAAGATTGGATTACTTCTGTCTCGCTCGCTTTCCTTCCGTATTTCAATCAACTTACGCGGTGAACACCGCGCTACTTCTATCAGCTTAATTTGTCCCCCTCACCCCTTCCACTCCTCCCCCACCTTTTTCATACCGATCATGCGATCATGATCAGATGCAATCCCTTCGTCATGATACAAATGAAAAATCACCCAGTTTATTTATTATAATATAAATCAACGAAGTATAAACACTGAACTAAGTAACCAAGTTAGAGCGGTTTTCAATTGACTGTCGAAAGTAATCGCTGAATTGCTTTGGTTTTGCTTTACTACGCTCTGTAATTGGTTTAAAAACTCACGCCACCTCAACCAATCAGATGTAAAACCAAAACCAATCACGACTTGGTCACATGCGTTTTTCCGCGCTTGGCGCTTGTTACGTGTATTTGCTTCGAGGTCTCATTGGTTCATTGTGTTGTTTACGTTTGCTGTGATTGGTTATTGTAATTGCTTTGGTTTTGATTTCACGACACTCAAGTGAAAACCGCTCTATGATTAGTAAACTACGTATTAGCTATATTTTGTCGCACTTGCTGGATATGAGATGATTATAACCCACTCGGTACTACGCGCCTCTTGAAATGCATTATCCAATGGTTCAGTTTTTAATAAAAAAGATGATATCATATTATCTTGCTCATATCCAACGCGCGCTCATGGGATAATTGTTAAATATATCGTAAATTAAGTAGAACTACAATACTAATGTAAATGCAGGAATACTTTAAAAATTGACTTTACTGAACAAAAAAGGTAGCACATTAATTGATAGATGTAAGAATTAAATTATAAATACATAAATATTATGCCTATCCTGCGTAGCAGTCGTTTACTTTCTGTGAGTGTGCGAGAGGCGCATGAAAGCTTATGGCAGGAGACAGAACAAACCAATTGACGGGGGGAGGGGGGGGGGGGGGTATGGCACTCGTTCTCAGAAAGGCTACGCAGGCTATAATCTATGGGCTCCTGATTCTATCTAGCCTGCGTGGCAGGCGTAGAAAGGGGAGGGAGGGTAGTCGGCCGCGCGCGAAGCGCGAGGAGTCGGAGCGCGAAGCGCGATGGAGTGGGAGGGAACGCCTGCAACCACGGTATTGTTTTTGCCATTCCGCCCCTAATTAGTTTTGACAGTTTTCACGCACACTTGATTAAATATGCAAGATATCTTTGAAATCATTCTTGTCTTTCGCTATGACAGAAATACTTCTTTTAAAACATAATAACCACATGTATAGAAAGACGGGGTTGGAAGTAGCCGAGTAAAGTTTTATAATTTTCACGTGAATGCGAAAGTTTCCAATAATAAGACGTTCCGTTGGTCACGTCCTAAAATTCAACAGACATTCCGACTTCCGTCACGCATTGAATACAGTGTATTGCAAGTCTAGCTTCGCTTTCCGTGAATGAAAACTTCTGAAGAAAAGTGGAATTATTTTCTCATAATATTTTCTCCGAACTATTAATTGGCTGGCGAAAGGTTGTCTTTGACTGCGAGACATTCTGACGAGAGAGCGTGACGAACCCGAATAACTTTCTTTCCCAGCATGATGTTATAAGTACGTGTTTTGCTTTCGAATACAGCTGTACTTTAGTTGTGGAATATCGTGTGACGTGACCCTTTCCTCTGCTCCACTTTTAATTCAAGGTTGAAGCCGTTTTCTTCCAATAAAGAAAGTGATTCCCGTACAATATCAAGTAGCTCAAAGCGATCGTCTCTCGATTTATCCGTAAGGCTGGCGGTTGCATGTAAATTGATAACAACCTGGAATCATTCAAATACTTAAATGACATATAACTGACCAATCAGAACAACCGATTAGCTGCTTTATTGACATTTCATTAATTCTGACCAATCACAATTTTTGCGTCCAGAATCTGGACGTAAAAGATTGAAAAAACAATAGCGGCTTCGCGCTCGAACTCCCCTCCTCCCTCCCCTTTACGCCTGCCACGCAGGCTATATTCTATCGCATGCATCACCACTATTAATTCGACGAGTTGCTGTTATCTGCAATAGGAGATTTGCATGATGGCGTCATTTGACTACACTACCAGAATCCTTCAGTTTCTCTCTTTCTCATGCTAATTAGAGCCATTGTTATTTAAACCCAAATGGAATTTAAAGATGTAAATAATAAAGGAAAACGAAATGAATTCTGGTAGTTGTAGTCAAATGACGAGATCGTGCAAGTGTGCTATTATATTCAATTCTTGTTACTATTCAATTATGCTATCAACTATAAAGTTTCCTAACATACCAAACACCTATGTGTCTGTATTTGTGTCTATATAAACAATAGCCTCCATTTGGCGAGGAAATATGCTCGGATATTTGTCCGCGGACATTATCTGTTCCGAGAAGCGAACAGTTTTCCGAGAGCGAAGCTCGAGGAAAACTGTGAGCTTCGAGGAACAGATAATGTCCAAGGACAAATATCCGAGCATATTTTTGAAGCCAAATGGAGGCTATTGTAGTTATTATCCTTCAAATATTTTTTCACAAGGCCGCTCTGTTTGCCGTGGAAGATCTCGGTCGGCCAGCTGTTAAACATCAAAATAATTATGTTGGCGTTCAAAAATATTTCTAGTCTGTTCAAAACAATCAGTTTTAATTTAGCAATTTATTTGAGACGAAAACTGAACCTGCGAACGTGAAACGCAAATTTTCAAAACTGGGGAATATCACTTGGGGAATATCACCCGGATATTCCCCAGTTTTGGCTGCGTCACGTGACGTGTTTAGACCAATCGCGCGCGAAAAAAAAATGTTGATGGATTATAATATCTGTTATGCTGTTATATTCTTGTTGTTATTATGTTATGCTATAAACCATGAAAGGTTAATTTCTAACATTTGGGGAATAGGTACGTATCGTATTTTGCGTCTTCCCGTTTAAGTATTCGAGTTTTCAATTCTTCTTGTGCATTCAATTATAATTGAAATTGAGAGCCATCTGTGATTTAGTTGAAAACTATGCAAGACAAACAATTGAAGGGCGAGTTTTAATGAATGCTGATAGAGAGGAGGGACAGAAAGTGCTTCCTACCTATGTATGTCAAAAGGTATTCACGCCATGGTAATGAAACTTGTATGATGTGTAAAAGTAGATATATTTTAGTGGCAGTCAGGTGTCAATTATGACGTCATACATGCCAAATAAATTCCGCTCTCTTGGTTCAAGGAAAAAACTCAATAATTAAAAAAAAATGGGAAAAAACTTTAAAACCGAAAATTATGCTTGAAAACTCCATGGAATCTAGATAGAATACTCTGTCAAAAACATGCTTGCCAAGGAAACTTCAATTCACGTAAACAAACAGCGGATACATCAAAATTTCCCCCGAAAATTTCAGGAAAAAGTCATGACGTAATGCCATTATTGCTTGAACGCGTTTTAAGTTACATAACCTTGAAATCAGCGCGGGCACTTTCTGCCACACACCCCCTACACACATGCAGATTAGGTTTAAACAATGTTAAGACAATGCAAACGTACTAACTAGCTTTGGTGGAAGTGATGTTGGTGCGAGTGTCCAAGATAGAAAACCTCCACCTTATCAGGCGTGAATGACTCTGTCCCAGCCAGGATTGTTTCTTGTTTTGTACTCCAGGTGGTGCAGGGTAGGAACCGCCTAGTGCTGCTTCTGAATTATCACCGTTTCCTGTAATGAAGATTCTTTGATAAAACATTGGACCATGAGTTTTGAGTTTAATAATCGCTCTAGATGGCGCATTTACCATGATCTTGAATGGTGTCAGTCCTTCTGCATTGTTGAGAGAAAATATGAACGCATTGGGGGTAACGCCTGTGACAAAGCCTGTTTCAGGTGGCTCTGAAGAAAATAAATACAAACGTAAGGTAAATGTGAATTGCAGGAAAAGCTGAACGTGTTTACAGTAGAATCATGAGTATTTATCTGGATTCTGTAGAATGAGTAAATAAAATAGCGTATAGTATGTAATATATCAACAACGAGTGCGAGTATGTCACGAGGGGTTCCAAACACCGAGAAACTTTTGAAAGCACTGCTCGAGGTCGCAGGCCGAGTGATTTTATTGTGTATAGGAGTTTTGGAGCCCCGAATGAAACACAAAGCACGAGTTTACGAGTTTTTGTGGCTCAATGGTAGAGCGTCCGACTACTGTGGACCACTTTGCGGAAGGTCACAGGTTCGACTCCAGTTTGTAAAACTTTGAATTATTATTTTTCTATGAAATATGCCTCAATCCATGATAATAATTTAGTTTTTGAAAGTCTAATCAGTCATATAAATACCCCAAGAATCTGAAATGAAATTGGATATCAAGACCACTAATAGTGAATCACTAGTGATCTTGATCTGTCATTTCATTGCATATCAAGATTCATGCACGCGACTTAAGTTTACGCCACATGGCCTTCACCGGGTTTCAAACCCCATACACGTGACGAAACGCGTGGTTAATTTTCTCATGAATTATTAATGAGATTGAGGAGTTATGGTCAATACTACATGCATTTGAGTGTCGCGCGCGATTTATGTTGTTGACGTGACTTCTTAAACACGGAGCGAGCCTATAAAAGGACTGGAAACAGCACTTTGTTGGCTTCAATTTATCGCAAATGGCAGACTAAATAATGGTCGTGAGACGATTGAACGTTTAAATGAGATGTTTCTTTGCTCAATTCATAAGAACTGGTTCATTCTTTTTGGGAAAACACTACAAAAGCTTTTATTTTGATTTTAATAAGTTTTAAAGGTGGAAGAAGATAAATCTGAACGGGAGTATTGAACGTCGACCCAGACCTAAAAATTCAAATTCCGCATGTCAACCATGTTTACTTTAAAAAGCAAACTGACTGAATCCTACAATTAAGGTTTCATTTCGATATCTTTATTAATTGAGAAAAGCAAGAACTGAAACCGAGTTATGTAGTTTTGAGCTGGGTTTGGCAAGAGTTTCAAATAATACGCGAACATATGTTTACTGTTGTTCTCAGAACACGCTAGCAAGTTCGCCAAGTGCCGTCTTCACCTCTATTTTATTCTCGCTTTAGCGGCATTAGCACCAAGCATTTCGCCTCTCCCATCTTTACAAATTTCTCCATTAAAAAAAGTCGGCCAAAAACTGTAGAGATTCCCCTTCACATTATTAAATTCATTGAACACTACGTACAGTGCACATGTCTCAGAACTACCGCCGTAAATATGCTTGTATCCGTTGACTTGCCGAGAACAAAATCGCAACGAGCAAAATACACTGACCGGCAAAATAGTACAGAAAGCAACGTGTTGAAATTAAAAGCTGCGAAATCTTTGTTTATTCGTTTTCTTTCACCCTACCTTTTTTAGCACATCTATAAATTTCTCATTACTGCTTGTCGAGTTGTGCGTAAACTATTTTCGAAGTCATTTTATTTAGAAGCTCATTCTACTAGCTTTTTTTCAGCGATGCTAACGAATGAGGCACTTTCATTGTGGACTATGATTGACAGGCTGAACACCTCAGCCTCGCTTTATAGGATCGCTCCGTGTTTAAACTGCCAATTCGATCAATCCAAGCCGATTTTCAATCTGAGCAAGGAAAGTCTATATTTCTCGAGATTATTTTCCTTTCAAATGACCATCCGCGCAGCAACAGGTTTCGGGCTAGTTAAGGACTGTGACATTATACTCACAACGCGAAATTACACATGACTAAAATCCGACTGAGTAAATTACATTATTTGGCAAGATTCTGGTATTAATTTTACAGGTTCAAACAGGTTTTAGGTTCAAACAAAATTGCTTTATATTTTCCTTTGTGTCATACATATTTTCATTAGACAGTCAACGGTCTGAAACAAAGGAAGATACAATTCAAATCAGCACACACGTTGACTTAGTATTTTGCTCGTCTAAATAGTTTGAAATATTTGTGTTACAAGTCATATTTTATATGACTCCCCTACCATGAATAGGAAATACAAGTCGGCGAAAGGTGCCGTACAAATCTAAATATTTTGTTTCAACTTTTGGTCGTACGGCACACTGATGTTTCCAAAGAGCCCTCGGAATTTATCTTCCGTCCACTCCCGTGATGAATCTGAGAAAATTATCCTCTAAAATTCACAACATTTATCCGCATTATCAAGGAAAACATGCGTGGCGAGTATGACGTCATAATGCTGCTTTTAATTGCCCGATCAGCTGGAACACATTTTGAGTAATGACGCACGAAAATATCGTGATTTTAGAGATCAACATTTTGATGTTAACAATATTTAACCCTAAGTATCCATGCTATGAAAATGAAACCTATATGGAATATGGTATCTAAAGCGTCCAAAATGTTTGTTTTAGTGACCGTCACGTGTCAATCATGACGTCATAGAACGCTAAAATGACGCCATACATTAAAAAAATGGCGAGAAATCGCGAAATATTGTATTGTTTTTACCGACAATTTTAGTGTGTCCATAGAGTAACATAACTCTTCACAGTTACATCTTGTTCCGCCATCTCGGATTTCATTTAATTTCATTTTTGAAATGTCCAAAAATCACCAAATTTTATATGAAAAAATAGTCTGAAGTGTCAGCCGTCTCCTCGCTCTAACCCCCCGTGGGCAGGCGAGAAGAACGTCTGAAGGCCGAGCGTTATAATGTCGTCCGGTGACGTCACGTACTAATTTATGTAATTTTGCGATTAATTTTGCATAAATTTCCAGTTGTGAAAAAAATGGCGGCCATGAGTCAGGGAAGTGAACTTCCCGTGCATGTGTATGAGGTTTTTTGTCTTTGGTGCTTCGCAAAACTGGATAGTGCCCAATCAAGAATCAATGTGCGGGGCCGCTCTTCGTTTCCAGTCGAAGCTGAGATAAGAAAGCTTCCGTTAAACATTATAATCGACGACAACACTCGTATTTGTTTCCCGTGTCTTCGCAAGTTAAAGAAGCGAAAGGCATTGGAGGAAAACTTCGCGGCAGCAACAGAAGAGCTTGTACGCTCTTATGGCAATACTTCTAAGACGAAGGAGTTCGTTCCTTCCTTCGTGAGCACCCCAACAAAAGCTGGGTATCCGTCAACCACTACCACTTGTACTGCTACTTCATCGACACCACGCACGTGTTTACCTCAGACAACGCAAAGAAAGGAAATTGAGCCTGGAGTCACGGTTAGTTGATTTATTGTTTGACACTGTTGGTGCTGCTCGATAATTTATTTGTTTAATCATTTTGGTGTTTCTTGTACTTGTTTTGTTAAGATTTTATGATATATACAAGCTTAAGCTGCTTTATATATTATAACCATATAAACAATCACTTAAATTTACAATGTAGCTTAAAATTATAGTCTTAAAAGCCAACATTAGGCTTATGCAGACAACACACAAATATTTGCACCTACAATAATAGTACCGATTTTCCTGGGCGATTTTCTAAATTGATAAATTAACATGGTTTTGATTTGTTTGTTTGAGTTCATAAACTTTGTCATGCTCAGTGCAACTTTATGTATCTTTATGTGCAACTTTATGTATATATTCTGGTCATTTTTGAATAATAAGTGAAATTATTTACTAGTGACATAATATGTTTTCATCATCTTTATAGATTGAAGTTGTGTGGCCAAGTGATGTCAACCCAAGGAGAAGAAAGCTGTCCGAAGAAATGGCTCCAATTGGTAAAGCAATGCTCCGTGGCACATATCAGCAAATGGCCCACAAAATTTGGCAACACAAAATCCTGAAAGTGGAACTGATGAAATATGTAATTCGTGCGACAGCTGCAGAATGTTCAGAGCTTTGCTCAACAAAGAATCACTCCATGGCAAGACAGTGTGGCAGTGATGACATGCTAAAATTCCAGCCGGAGGCCCTTTGCCAGGAATGGATGGATAAGGCTCCACTCTTTTATTCAATCTTGATGTCTTCTGCCTTGTCAGAAAGAAGAAAAGACGTGAAAACAGTCACCTGGTTGCCAAGTGTGGCATTGGCTGGTTCAATTCTATTGAGGGAAAGATCCAGGGGGATGGATGCCATGCAGTTGCTGGTCACCACAATAATAAAAACAAGTGGCAGTCAGGTAATAATTTGTTCGGTTATTTTTAATAATTTATCTTTATTTTGTTGTGTATTCCAAGTCAAATAATTATTAATACAGTATTAATAATTATTAACATATTTTCAAGAGGCATGGTGGTACATGTATTCTTGGTTTGCAACTGACGTCATCGCCGCCATGTTGGATGACCATTAAACAAAATAATTCTAATTAGCTTTATTGTTCCTGTCATCCAACATGGCCGCCAGGGTCTTTGTCATTTAAATCTCTCGGGAATGGTTACAAACCAGCAATACTGATGGTTGCACACGGGTTGAAGGAGGGATAATTAATATTGCTGTCTTTTCAGAATTAAAGCATTAGAATAATTTGTTATGAAGTGTCACCGAAGATTAATCACTGTTGATGTTCGCTGTTTTTGGTTTCAGGCATTGCTGTCCCGTTTAAATGCCATGAGGCTCACTGTCTCAAACAGGCGGTTTTTAAAGATCATGGATAAGTATGCAGCTACATTTGATGAAATATTGGCCAAAGAACAAGAAAAGGGTAATGAAATGCTGAAAAAGAAATCTAACCCTGTGCAAGGTGCCCTGGCTGTAGCAACACATTCAGACGAGCAAGAGCATGATGAAACCTTAACACCCATCAACGTTGAGACAACTGTTCCACTCTCATCTGATGTACAACAAGTCAGCTGCGATGCAGAGTTACCTAGCTGTGACAAAACAAGCAGCCATGTTGACTCTCCAGAGAATATGCAGTTTACAGTAGGACCGGTGACTCACCTCAATGGACCACCAGTAGATGAACATTGTTCACTCACCGATGCAGCAGCAATAGATCCTACCAATGGATTCAATGTTGTTGTGGACAACTGGGATATGAGGCAAGAGGTGCGGCATATGACATCAGACCATCAGAACACTGACATCCACTGGGTAAATCATAACATCGTGGAAAACCGGGTTTCAGGCAATCATCTGCCTGATGATAAGCCAGTGAAAGATGTTATGGAGGTCGAGAATAAGGATCTGATTCCTTCCTTTGCTGATCACAAGGAACTGTACAACAATTACCTTGTACACATTCAAAGAATTTTAACAAAACGCATCCCAGCTTTGCAGTGCCTTTCCGACCATGTGTCAAAACACATCAGGCATAAACACAC